TGACACCTGCCTGAGCGATCACGATTAGCTCTGAGCGTGTCGCTTCATATGATACGAGAAATTTAAATTGCTGATTTCCTTGCGGTTGTCTCGACTGCGTTTCCTTTGCTCTCATTTTGCTAAAGAATGGGCGACTGCGCATGCCTCTGAGCTATGTAATCCCATATACTTGGAGAGGTTCTTTGCCATCCTATTTGTAATGAAGCTTCACCCTGGCTTATTTTAAAAATGTCTAATCTGTGACGCACTCTCCCCCTCCAAAAACTTAGTTTGATTTTTACAAGGTCTTTCTGAGTGTTTGGCTGTACTTATGGAAATGTAGAACATTTATGTTCTACAGCAAGCCAAAGAAATGCATCCCAAGTATCAAAACACAAGGGCATCTTCTAAATTATATCTTCTTAGATTTAAAGGTAAAATGCAAAATTGCTTGACAGATACTTGATAATATTAAATACTGAATTGTGAACCTTTCTGGAAATGAAGTGAAACTATAGTTTCATTCATATAGTTTCATAAATATAGTCAAAATAGAATTTGCAGAAGGGGTAAAATTATATTACCCCCATCCTGCTTTTCTTGTTATATATCAGATGCCATAAGGGATTTTTCCTTACAGCTAGCAACTAAAATAGCATTCACACACCTGTAACATGTCCCAGCCCTCCTTTAGGTCTTGTCTAGTTTCCCACAAATAATTTTAGCAATAGAGAAGCAGTACTTCAAAGTGCTTTTTGTTTATAACATTTAAACACTCAAAGGCTTATTTCTCTACCTCCTTTTCTGAATTAATTTACTTTCTACCCAGTGAAGGTGCCTTAGGGAGATACCAAAATGCCACTGTAAAAATCAGCATGCTGTGGGTTACACTGTATAGGTGTGGTGGTGCAGGTTCTTCCCTAATCTCTATCTCCCCATACAAATACTTTCAGCATGTTATCTTTTAGCATGTTATTTCTAGAAACTCCAATTTTTAACTCGTGGAGAAGGAAGGCAGAATGGGGGTTGCTGGGCTGCTTCCCTTCACTTGAAGAAAACTGCAAGGTGCCAAGCAGCCAATTCTGCTGCTATTTAAAGATTTAACACTTTTGTAAAGGTTCCTCTTTCTTTAGAGTGTGTTCCTTATTTGCTTCCTGAGTCTAGCACAGCGTTTTCTACCAGAGATTACTTACTCTGCTCTATTCTGGTACCAAAGACTTCTAACACTGTGGGGCTGGGAAGGGCCTGAAAGTGAAGGATGGTGTGAGCAGTGATTAGCAGTAGCAGATATGTCATGAACCTGCCTCAAGTTTCCATAATTTACCCCTTCAGCAGTTTGTAAGAAAACAGTAGAGAGTCTTAAAAAGGAAGTAATAACTGAACTTAAATCCTGCCATATCTGATATAAATGATAGGTGCTTACATATATCTGGTTGAAAACTATTTTCTACCTAAGCAACCAAACCAACTTCTTCAGTTTTGTTGAACAGTGAGTAAATAAAGTCTGGGTAACATGATCAGAATACCTCAGTTTGCATTCACAAAGATTAAAAGAAAGAGCTGGTAACCTGTTTGTTAGAGCTGGAAGTTTTGAAAAACTAAGGCAATAAATTAGTAGGGTCAAACAGAATTTATGGGCTTGATAACCAACAGCACTTGAGAGTTTACAAACTGCTCAAGCGATGCCTATGAACAGTGGAAACAAAGGAGCTCCAGCTTTGAAAGCATGAGCAATGTTACATTACAATAAAGGAGAATAAGTCTACTCATTTTAAAACTTAAAAGATAGAGGTGATTCATTAAAAAACACTAATAATTGGTGAAGTGTACAGATCAAATAGAGCAAGTGTTCTTAATCTGTAGATATGGGGAAGCAGGAAAAGAATGAGCAGATTAGACTAAAAAAGCTACAGAGTTCTACTAAAAGACTGTAAAAGACTGAAAAATTAAGACATAGAATTAAAAATGGGACCTCTAAACATGGGTTTATCAAATGTTAGTTCATGGCTAACATGATACATCTGCTCAGCCAATCTACTCATAGCAGGGAAGCTGTGGATTAATTTTGTATTACTCTTACTGGCAAACAGAGGAGCATGCAGTAGATGGAAGCTGGAAAACAACTCTCAGTTCAGCAGTTTCAGCTCTTACCCTACAGTATGCCCTATAGTTGCAGTAATAGAGATTGAATAAAAACAGCATGAAATGCAAGGTTATAGGTATAGTGATACTCATGAGTAATTTTTATAAGGTGGTGGTGGAGTGAAACAGGGTCATAATTTGATCAGTTCTTAAAAACTAGCAGCCTTGGAGGCCAATTTGTTCCCAAATGACTCTAATCCATCATCACTAAAACAATGCTATAAAAGAGATGATTAGTTTTAGAATATACCCTGAGAGGAAGAAGATTCTAAAAATTCATCTGAAATAAGTGTTCAAGTTTAACCACCCATGCTCAAAAGCATATTTTAAAGTACAAGGAAGGGAATGATATTCAGAAAGATTTTAAGAGAAGATTAAAGGAACAGCAGACCAAGATAAATCTTCACATATGATCTTGGCTCTTAACTAATCTATCGAGGTCTTAAGTGTAAGGGTTGGGGGAGAAACTATGAAAAGGTTATTTAACATGTGAACAAACAGTAGTGAGTTAGCTACAAATTAAATACCCAGTGGAAGTTAAGAGAATTACATTTCTCATGTACAAAGAGATGCAATGGCCTTCCCTTATTTGCTCTGCACACCAGAGCCAGACTTCCTCCTTTGCACCACAAAGCAAAGGAGACTCACGCACTTTTCAACACTATTCATAATTTGAAGATTTTGAATTTGAAGATACCACAGGGCACCTAATGACCACTGTTGTAGCTTATTTCCCTTATACACACTTTTGCTGATCTTAATTGATGACCAAGAGATACTAGCCTAGGCTTGAACTAGGCTAATGGAACCCCCACATCTGTGACAGGGGTCTTTAGGTCTTGGGACTGACAGATGTTGCAAGCCCTATTACTATAGAACAGCAGCTTGTTTTAGGGGAAAACAACAAAAAACAAACCAATAGCACACACATGCAAAAACCACACATGCAAAGGCGGCGACTCAGCATACCATTTACGGCATTATTTGAAAGGAGAGCATAAGCAATACTTGGGTTAGGCTAGTGCATTTAAGATGTTATGCATTTAGCCAGTTAAGTAGTCACAATCAAGAACTGCTAAAAAAAAAAAAAATAGATGTTCCCCTCTATTATGACAGCAGCACAGATGGACTTTTTGCCCATGTCATCAACAGAGCCATTAATTTACGTATCTGATAATCATGTTCAGTTTGGTAGAAAAATCCTGACAGCACTAGCTGCCAGGCTAGTTCAGAGATTGCTCTTAATGGAGCGCCCTTAATGCAGTTCTGGCTCCTGAACTAAACAAAAGATTAACTCCCTGTAGCAACTAATTTGAAGTAATTATTAAAAAGTTTTTAAGCTATAAAATCCCTATTATCAAACAAGTTTTATGGCAGGGGGTGTAATTATTGCTGCTTTACTTGTTTCTAGCCCCTTTACCACTTGTAGACTAATGAAATCAGTTAGAGCTTCTAATAGGAGCAACTCCCGTATTCAAAGCGGCAGTAAGAGCTTACTGGACCTCTTCACAGAAGAACTTCAACAGAAGTTCCTTAGAGACTCTTAGGCATGGAATCAAAGCCAAAACAAAGCCGGTTCCCAACTAATCAACCTGAAATACTGAAGACCAGTTCTGTAGCAGAGGTCACATTGACAATACACCCACTGTCAGGTGTACTGGCTAAACTACCCCACATCATGACTCCGAGTAATCTGAAAACTATCCCAAGATATCCACATAGCATTGCAAAGTGACTTAGGATATCCAGTTCATTCTAAAACTTGAAAAGTTTCACAAAATAGGAGTCAGGCAGTCAGATTCAGATTTATTTACAGACACATTCAGCATGTTACACAGTTGCAGTCATCCTTTTCACATTGAGAGCTGCTGTGTAGAAGGTTTCAACTCTACAAGAAAAAGAGGAGAATTAACAGGTTTAAAAACTTGACATTAACTTTTATATGAAGTTTATGAATTTATAAAAGCTATCTTATACTTTTTCTTTCACATAAAAAAAAGAAAAGCTAAGTAGCCAAAAGTATCAGAGTGACAATTAACTTTATATAGAGAATTTTTTTCTGGTTATGGGATACAAGTGAGCATTTTATTCCCTTCCAAGAGTTACTTAGGTCATCTCAGCTTCCCAGCAAGATTTGACACGTCTCAGATTATGGAGTTAGCAGTTCCAGTTATATGCAAGACAGAATCAGTTAAGCTTAGATAAATTGCGGAAACCTTCCAGCTGGAAATGGCATACTTGCAGAGTCCAAACAATGTCGGAGGCTTGCTTTGTACGCAAAGGTCATCAACATTAAATATCAGTTAATATAGCATCAGTTGTGCTAAAATAGCTTTAAATACCTTGTTTTAGGAGGTGCAGTTTACATAGTAAACAAATGAGTGCAGTACATGGGCATCACCATTATTTAACATGGTAAAAATGAACTTCAGGAAGTCTTGTTTCCCAGTTTTAATTGGCACATCAGAAAGCGTTTACAGTGTCACAGTTGCCTCATACTGTTTCGTTCACATCACATGTGCCAATATTCCTAGCCTTGTTTCTCTAAAGGAGGTGGATTTTTTTTTTTTTGGCCAAATGCCATCCTACTGCCCATTCGAAGACCACCAAAGTTAGAGAAGCATGGCCTCTGAGCAGTTAGAGTTCACAGGAAAAAAGACAGCTCAGCAGCCATGTGAAACAAATTGAACCTATTCTCAGAGTTTTGAGTTTTAAGCGGTTTAGGCAGCAACTTCAGACCACACACTGAGCATCTGGTCTGGGAAAGCTTATAAATTGTAGTAACAGTTGTAGGTGTGTTTTGATACATTAATCTGTTTTGATCAGATTCCACTATGTTTGAGTATTTAAAAAGTCAGTTACCCAGTCAGCAGGAGTATATTCCATCCTCTTCACTTCTTAAGGAGCTGGTGTCTGACTATAAAAAAGGGGGCAGCAAAGCCACTTCCAAAAAATGCACACATTACTGCCAGTAGTCGCCATTTATTTTCAATGGAAAATGGAATATTCTAGAAAAGAAATTAAGTTTTAGCTTTGTAATCAATATAAAATACCTTAACTGCATCCTCACCACTAACATGCAGATTCAAACTGACACACCAAACATTTATTCTCAAAAGAATTTTCCTCCCTCCTATGAAGGGAGTCTCACTTAGGCTGGATGTGATCACTGCAGGTCACCTGGTTCATCACCTCCAAGTAGAGTAAAATGAGACTAGTTTGGTTAGGGCTTTCTCCACTGAAGTTCAAGTGTCTGTGAGCATTGAGAACCCACAGTTTGCAAAATGTTCCAGTATTTATTTCCTGTCATTCTGAAAAGGTTATTTCTATCATTTGATTGGATTTGGTCATGTTAATTAAGTGTGTACAGTTAGTTTTTAGGATCATTTTAAGACATCATGCTAAGCATATGGTACATCAGAAAGCTTTTACAGTATCACTGTTTCCCCCCTCATACTGCAATAGTCATCGTCTGTACCATGGGCACAGAAGGTAACAGTGAAAGGAATGCAAAATGGTAAAAAGTCCAAAGCCCCATGCCAGCCAGGGCGCCGGTCCAAGGACAGTCATTACCTTGTGCCTGACCTCAACATCCACCTCACTG